GTCCGGGTCGCTTTCCCTGCGCCCATGTCAGAGGTTCGGGAGAAGCTCCATTTGGCAGGACAGACCCCGCCCTCCTGCTCCAGCGTGCTGGCTCTTTTTGCCTCGTTCTCGCTCCGGGGCAGCAGCGGTAGCCCAGCTCCGTGCAGGGGCTGCTCCTCTAAAGCGCACGCGTCAGGGCCTCTGGCCACTTGTCTCCAACAGCTGGTCCCTGTCCTCAACCCTGCACGGCTTCTCTTTCCCAGGTAGCTCTCCCTCCAGGATCTACCTTCTGCGCTGATACCCAGCAGCGACCCCCAGGGCGGCTCATCCTCAGACAGCTTCCCTGTATGGACAACATTCCCCACACCCAGAACATCACCCCCACCCTTTGGAGCTGTACATGTGAGAGACCAGACATGTCAGTTTCAGCTTCTCTCTGCATCTCCTGCCCGCTAACTCCCTGATAAAAAGCGTTGTCAATGGAGCAGTCGCCTCCTGGAATACTTTGGCAGGCTGGAGCAGGTGCTGCAGAGAGGAGGTACAGAAGAGGTGAGTATATAGGAAAGACACGAGGGTGAAGGAAGCACAGTGAAATGTAATAGTAAACACTGGTGTTACATTGTGAGTGGGGGATCAAGAAATAAGTGCAGTTTCACACCAGCACTTATGTATGTGTCAGCCTTATAGGGTTAGAAGTAAACTGATTTTTTCACAAAAGCCGAAGCAAAGGAATTTTCTGAATCCTTAAATCTGGATGGGAGTTGGACAAACACAGGATAAAATGTTTCCAAACTTTTCTGGAAACCAATAGAGTTGCTGAGAAACTTAAAAGGATGAAATCCTTCTGATGCTACATGTGGCAGCCCTAAAAGTGCTAAGGGCCTGTTACTGCAGTGCTTTTTCAACTTTTTTTCATTTGTGGACCCTTGATTTTTTTTTAGATCTTAGCCTGCAGATTACAGGTTGGAAACCACTGTTCTGTGGTAATGACAGCCAGAGGACAGTTTAGTCCCCCATATTGATCTTAACCCATCAGGCCTAAGGCAGCTTGAAGAATTACCTGAGGGCCTGGCACAGGGTGGCAGCAGGATCAGGCCTCCCACACTCACTGTGGTGGTGGGAGCCATAGGAAGTGGAGCGACCCAATTGGAAGTTAGCCGAGTGGCACAGACTTTTGGGTTGCTCTGCTTCCCTTTGCTCCTGCCTGGATCCCTGGCAATCCCCCAGGTCGTGTTTCTCCAGGTGGTAGGGGGCTTTAAGGAAGGGGTGCAATATGAGTGAGAGGGGGTGGAGCAGGGATGGAAATGGGGAGTGAGGCTTGGAGCGGGGGCAGAGGTGTCCCAGGTTCTCCATGCCCTCCTCCCCGGATGGCCCTGATGATAGATTCTTGTCTACTCTGTAGACCTACTCTATAGACCTCCAGGAGTCCACAAGCCACAGGCTGCAAAGTACTGTACTAGGGGGGAAGATTATGGGCATGGGATACCAGTAGACCAGTGGTTCTTAAGCTGCAGCCCAGGCAACACGTAGCTGCAGGCTATGTGACATTTTGAGGACCATATAGATAGCATATAATGTGGATATGGTCCACATAACATAGGTAGCTACAAATGTGGTCTACAAAACATGTAGAGAGCTGCATATGCAGCCTCAAATGGTAACTAGGTTAAGAACCACACTGCACTGGACAAAGGCATGCAAAAATTTCAAGATTACTGTGATAAATCCAAGAATGTCACACAGGAAAGTTACATTTTCTTTACAAGGAAATAATTTCTGGGTCAGATAACGGTTACAGGTCTACATAACAGAGCTTAGTCATGTGTATATCAACATTTAATAGACAGGGTTAATTAGAGTCTGAGTTATTAGTAGAGTTACTAATAACCAAGTTAAAGCAAGGTTATTGAGGGAAATTGACTTTTAATTGGAAAGAAGAGTGAATAGTACAAAAATAGTAAAAACAGTGCTTTCCAAATGAAAATATTAGCAAAAATGAATAAACAGGAAAGTACTTAACTATTAATTGGCAATGAAAATATCAGAAGCAGAAACAGGCTCCAGATGATGGTAGCAGCTGGGGACGCGGCAGAAGAAACTGTTTGCATAAGATGACGTGGCGATGTGATGGGAAAGTTACTGAAACATTTGTGATGTGTATTATTGTTTATTATTACAATTTTATTATTTATTTGTATGACACCTGCCCTGAGAGACTTCAGTCAAATTCAGAATCCCACTGTGCTGTACAAATACACAGTAAACAAATCCTCCTCTGATAATTTTAGTCTAGATTAAAGACAGGATACAACAGTTGACTGCAGTAGACAACAGTTGGGGATAGGAGTATGAGATCAACATTAATGACAGTGCATAACTGCAACAAGTTAGATATGTTCATAATTTATAGATGTGAATGATCATGAGAAATAAATGTCTCTCTACTTGTCACTGAACTCACCTTGCCATTATTATTAAACCTTATCATTTTCCATATGTAAGCTTTTTTAGTTGAAAAAACAGAGTTCTGTGTAAAATGAAGTGGTTTTTTGCTAAAATAAAATTCTGTTTTTTGTTAAAATCCCATTTTTTGTTTTATGAATTTGTTAGAATCCCTCCAGTTGTACTTGTGGAAAAATAAAGTTTTCCTCAGATTTTTTTTTGTAGGAAAAAGCGTTTCCTAATCAATTAAATTTTTTAAAATTTGTTTTTGCCTTTGAGCAGTATGAACATTACCTTTACATCTTCCCAATTTTGTTAATGTCACTTTGTTATTAGATCGAAAAGCTAGGTGAGATAATTTTTTTAATTGGACCAACTTCTGTTGGTCAGAGACACAAACATTCAAGCCACATAGGGTTCACGGCTCCTCACACGGCTACTGACACACGGCTTTTACCTGGACCTGGCTCCAGCTGAGAGAATTGTGGCCCAGCCATGGTACGAGCCATGCGGGGAGCCATGCTGTGGACACTCCACCTTCTCTGTGTGGAGGGCTGCTCTTGATCCTCTCATCCAGAGCAGGTGTCGGGTCGTCACAGGTCCCCCAGCCAGAGCTGGGTTCAGTAAGAGCCACAAGCAGCTATGGGGAGTTGTGGACCCTCCTGCCTGGAGTAGGGAGCCCATGGAGCAGGGACATTGGGCTGGGGGCTACTCTTGAGTCCACCACTGTGGGTAGGTGGACGGTCCACAGCTCTGGATCTATTCCAGCTTCTGACATGACTGAGGGCAAAAGAGGAGGGGCCTGGCCCCTCCACTTTTGGGCAGGTACTTTGCAGAGTGACCACTCTGTGTGCCTGGCAGTGGCAAGGCTTAAGCAGCACATTGTGATGCTGTAAGCTGTTCATGAAGATGTAGCCATGATTTTTAGCGCCAAGCAGAGTTATTAATTTTAACTCCCTGGCTCATTGCAGAGGTTTTAATGGGCCACTCTACCTTGACTAGCCTCTTAGCATGTGCGCTAATTAGCCATGCTAAACAATCTGTTCTAGCTATCATCTAACAGGGACAGTCAGGGTATCTTTCCCGGATCTGAAGAAGTGCTCTGTATTGCTCTGGTGTTGGTCTCCAATGTTTGGTGCCACAGGACTACTCATAATAAAAGAGAGTATCTCATCCACCTTTTCTCTCTAGTACCTTGGGACTAATACCAAGTCAGGTAGGGTCACTGCACTGGGGGGGCTGGATAATCACTCCTGCATGTAGCACTTCTGTAAGGGGTGCACCCGGATCTGAAGAAGTGCTCTGTATTGCTCTGGTGTTGGTCTCCAATGTTTGGTGCCACAGGACTACTCATAATAAAAGAGAGTATCTCATCCACCTTTTCTCTCTAGTACCTTGGGACTAATACCAAGTCAGGTAGGGTCACTGCACTGGGGGGGCTGGATAATCACTCCTGCATGTAGCACTTCTGTAAGGGGTGCAACGTGGGT